TTACTGTTCAAGTATTCAACTCTAGGGACATCCTCTGGAAGGAGCCTTAATGGTGTGAAGTTTCCATTGTTATTTTTATGGCATTATATAGAGACTTAGAAAAAATTGCCTGTGTTAATGGCAAGTGCATTCTTAGCCTCAAGCTAAGTGGATAATGGAAATATTGTTCTCCATGCAGATGGGAAGTGGAGGGACAGCAAAATGAAAACAGCTACACAGAGACACATAAAGGAGAGACATCTTTGAGATGACACATTTCCAAATACTGTGCTATCAACCTTAAATGCATAACTATCCTTCATCTCAGGCCCTTGCACACCTCTATGGATAAGCAAATTCCTACCAGGAATTATTCTCTACTTTAAACCTCATGCTGACCACAGAGAAGCTCTAGCATGAGTAAGACAGTTGCCATTACTATGTGCATCAGTGGAGATCCACACCAGTGGAGATTCTTTCCCCTCCTGAAAACAAAGGCAAAATCTTCTAGGGTAATCTGTGTAATGGAAGGGGAAATTTTGTACTGCCTGCTGCACGATCAGCTGTCATTTCTGGGGCAATGATAGCTATTCCAACCAAACAGAAAAGGCACCTTTTTAATGCAGTTTAGCCCAAAGAATAAAATCAATACAGAGAGGACACAAATAATTATATTTGTAATGATATTATATTCATAATTATAATTATAATGCTCAAGAAATATTTATACAGCAGAAGAATTTCATAATGGACAACACTGTTCCAAGTTTGCCATGGTGCAACCATAAATATATCCCATAGGGCAGATAACTACAGAGACTTGACCCTAAATTACCTAACTAAGCAAACTATTCTACTTTCTGACCGACCTTCCTGGCAGGACACACTTGGCTGTCCAGCAGCCGAGCTAAACATTATGTACATCTAAGATGACATTTATCTCAAGGAAACTTGCCAGACATACTCACAGATATAAATACTGCAACCTTTTACTTATTATTTCAAGAATACAAAGGTATTTTATTATACAAATAGACCAACTGGAGGGAATTCAAAGCAGAGGAGCCTTTTCTTTTTTCAAAGAATCTTTTTCAGAGATGGAAGGGAGAGAGAAGCATGCATGGTTTGCCTGAGTAAGGTTTGTCCTCTCATTCCTCCTCTGCACCATCTGTGCATCCACAGACTGCACAGGCTGTGAGAATGCAGGAGAATGAGCAGAAAGTTGCCTCATTGTTACCCTGCAGTATCCACCACAAGGAATCTCCTGGCTTTGACATAGTTGCTACATCCAGGGTCACTTTTACACCCACTTGAAACTTACACTACTACTGAGATGGTGCATTGGAAACTGGTGTACTGTAAAAACAACCTCTGTGCTGGTTACATTATGTGGGGGCTATTGCTGAGCTCTGTAAGCACCCAGTTTGTCAACAGAAATATAAAGCTCTCCATCTACAATCCACCCTCCCACCTGCACTGTGTCAAATCTCAGGGGGACAAAATAATAGTTTCCAAACTGTTAAAAATTCAAAGCTGAAAAGAAATCTCTAAGGAAAAGAAGCAACTGTTAGAAGTTGCAAATGCAGCAGGAGAATATTTTAAAGAAAAATTATTAGTCTTGATAAAGCTTCCCAGAAGTGAAATACAGGGAAAATCTCTGGCTGAAGGACCTCAGTCCATGAAATTTAAAGCCAAACCAACAAAAGCCCTCAGCAGAGAAGCTTCTCAAACAGCTGGGATACTCTGTAATGCCCCTGGCAGAAGGAAGTAAAACCTTTGTCTCACGTTCTTTAATCTGCCAGTTGCTTCCTTCAACTCCCCTTTACTACTCCAGGTACTATTAATGAATTTCTTCCAACAGAGGAGTAGCTGACTGGAATATATTGATCTTCTCTTGCTTCTTGGCTGGGCAAACTGGCTACTGGGAAATGCTTCTCTTCAGTGCCTTTCCTTAGAAGCATGGGCACAACTTCTGATTTCTTCAGGGTTTCTCAGGCATGGAGGTGATCAGGTCCAGGGATCAACACCCACAAACAGAGCTAAAGTGCTTAGGACCTGGAACCATTTGCCCCAGAGCTCCCACTGACCTGTAACTGCTTGAGCTGGAAGGCCAAGCTGGTAGCTGGAGCACGGAGAAGGGCTTATGTATTCTGTGGAGGCAGAGTGTTTCTTCTATTGTCTAAATAGCACTGTTACACACCCTGTAAAGATTTCTGTATGAAGGGTGCAGAATATTGAGGTATAAATGGGTTATGATTACTTGATGTGACTGCATCAGAATATAGTTTATTGGTATGTATGGGATTGTGTATGAATATTTCCATCAAAATCAGTTTTATTTTTCTAATACAGGCTACTGGTGAGTCATACATAGTTTTTCAGGGTCTGCAAAAGATGACTTTGAAAGGTATAACTGCTGCAAAATCCCCTTAAATTTACTGCACTGTAAATTTCACTGTGATTTATCATTAGAAAACCGATACAAGTGTCCATTCTGAAAAAAAAAAATGCACAAAACCAGAAATCACCTAACCTACTTAGTAAATGGGGTCTGTTTAACAAGAACAGAGTGGAAAAAGTACTAGCTGAATAGAAAAAAAACAGTGACCTAGAACCTATCATTCCTCTGATGGGAGAAGATAGTACCTTAGCTGACTTCACCCCCATAAAAATGCTGGGGGTTTTTGCCAGATCTAGGAACTAACACATGACAGCATATAAAGAGTTAAGTGACCTACATGTAGAAGCAGAAGTGATGAAGGAGGAGAGAAAGCTTTAAACAAGACTTGACAATTCCTCCCCTTTGAGGCACAAAGAGAGAAATACTTGATGAATTAGGAACCAGGACTAACTGGTGAGACCCAAAAGCAGAACTGCTCAAGCAATGGCTCCAGCCCAGCTGCAAGGCAAACCAATTTTGATCAGGCTTTGCCAAAATGCTGTTCAAAATAAACTAATAAAGAGTGGCTAGCTGCAAGGAGGTTCTGGGAGTGGGAACTAGGAGTGCTCTCTCCTCTTCATTCCTACATACACATCCAGGGTGCGAGGTGATCTCATCAGAAATTATGTAACTCTGCCCATAGACTTCAAGGCAGAGACTGTAGGTGATCCAATCCTAAAATGTTCTGCATACACATTACAATCTCACGGTCCATTCTGAAGCTTTAAGAAAATTGGCAGTGCCCTTGCTACCATCATCTGCCTTGTTGTGGCTGGCCTGCTGAGGTATTCACAGTCAGCAGGAGAGGAAGCACCTCTTGGCCCTGTGTGAGAGCAGAGGTGCGTGATTCAGTACTGATTTACATGGATGGTTAAAGGGCCTGATGGCAAGACTCAGAGGATACTCAGAGGGGCCACAGAAGGTCAAAAGTGTGTGCAAAACAGGACTCAGAGCAACCTACAGGCAAGAAAACAAGACTGTGGGAACACAGGTTCCCTGGAAATATCCATTACTTGAATTCTCTTCTTAATTTGACTCACAGATAGATAAGGACAGCTCAAAACACCACTGAGCTGTTGTTGGGACTCTGCCTGCCTTATGGTATTGAAGTTTGTCCTTAGAGTATAAAGTAGTTAAAATGTATTTTCACTCCCACTCCTTAAAAATCTAGTGCTGTGATTTGATGGAAACCATAATGCCTTGTATTGGATTTGCTTCTTAATATTTAATACTCACTTTTTTATACACAATTTAGAACACAGAAATAATTGGTATCAGTAACACTGGAATGTTACATACTACTAAGAAAGAAAACAAAAGAAGCAACAGAAAGTGTCCTTTTGCTGTAACTTTTGTAGTCAGTTGCTGCTATTCCTTCTGTGATGCACATGAAAGCTATTTTAGCCCCTGCTGGCTTTCCTGGAAATGTAATGCTGTCCTTAGCTTCACAGCTGAGTAAAATTTTGGTTCCTCCCCTCTACCTGATATCAGACGCAGTGCTTAGCAGAGCAGAACATTAACCAGAGAAAAGGGATCAAAATGAGACAGCATCAGTTCAAGTTAAAATTCATAGTTTCAAGCAGGACAATATAGAGACAGAAAGTTGGAAAAGGGAGCTCTACCATGTCCTGTCTCCCTTGAGAGAAGGGATGTCTGCTCTGGTCCAGACATCCCACACTGCAGCAGTGTCAGCACTCTTTTGGTATAAACAGGGAGCCAAGTCTGCTTGTATCAACAAGCCAGTGATTTTAGGCTCCTGCAACATCAGAGGGGATTGCCTTCGATAGAGTGAGGGCAGAGTCGGGCACACTTACCTTGGCTGGAAGCAGAAACCAGACCTTCAGCATTTCATTCAAGCTACACAGAAAAATCCTTCAGCTCAGCCTATTGCAAAGGCATGACACTCTCTGCAGAAATGAGACTGGGCATGCCTGCCAGGAGCCTTGAAGAGAATACTCTCTCCCATTTACCAAGGCACTGCATCATCTTCCAGGCTGACCCGAGCTGCTGCCAGTATTTACAGAGACACGGAGAAGTGTCAAAGCCCCCTGGTAGAGGCAGTGGAGCGCGCAGGCTGCCGCCGGCAGATGTAGCGTGTCCCCAGGAGCCGGGGACAGGCGGGCACACGGACACGGACACGGACACGCGCGGTGCGTGCGCGCAGCCCGCCGAGGTAAGTCCAGCCCCCAGCATCCAGCGGGGCCATCCTTCTGCTGCTGGATTTTTCCAGCCGGAGCATCCTGCCGGCTCTGCCGTGATTTATGGAAAGCGGTTTCTGACGCGGGGCTTTTTCTGTTACGACACGGACCCACGGACTGGAGGAAGCAAAGCTGCAGTCAGGGCAGGAGAAGTGAGGGAGGGGAAGAGGCGGGAGCAGAGGGACACGGAGGAGTGGAGAGGACAGAGGGAGAAACAGACACCGAGACACTTCAGAGATGGGTGAGTTATAACTGAGAGAGCAGGAGCAAAGGCACAGAAAGGAAAAGAAGGAGAGCCGTGAGGAAGGGAAAGGGAAAGGAGATCAGAGACTGAGTCAGCTTCCAGAGGGCAAACACCAGGAGACGAGTTCAGGGAACACCCCAGCACATCAAGAAGGACCTGTTCTGTCTGAATCTTCACCATGAGCACAAGGAAGAGCTGCCCCCTGCCACCGGGGCAAGGAGACCAGGAGGAAAAGCAGAGCGAGGGTACTCCCGACCTGGAGAGACAGGAGTGTGAGATGGAGCTGAGGAACAAAGCTATTCTGCAACAGAAGAGGCGCCTCAAACAGGCTACCCAGTTTGTGCACAAGGACTCTGCTGATCTGCTGCCCCTGGATGGCTTGACAAGGCTTGGCACCTCCAAGGATCTGGTGAGTCCAGTGGGATCCTGTTTGGGAGGGGGTTCCCCTAATAGCTTTCATTCCAGTTGGGAACTGCTGGCAGGCTTTGTGAAAGGATCATAGGTTCAGCAAAAATGAAACTTCCCTTCAGGATCATCTAGGGGCAGGTCAGAGTAAGGGGAAAGAATCATTAATCACTCATTTGCTTGCATCCATATTCTTGTGCCTCCCCATAGGAACCAAACTCCTCAGGCAGGCATGGACTGGAAGGACTCTCCAGAATCCAAATTTCCATTCATTCAATACCTATGAGTATGTATGTTCATGTGACATGTATGTTTCCATGTGGGACAACTCTGAAAGCCCGATGTATTCCTGCATGATCCAGCTCAAAAGCAGAATGCTTCCTGGACTCAGCAGGGAGGGAAGTACAATTCATGAAATTCTGAGAGAGTTATGTTTGACCTTGTCACCTTTTTGCATTTTTCTCTCTTCCCCTACTCTCTGGATTTATGGAGGGGAAAGCAAAGGGCAGGACTGCAAACCAGACAGGCAGGCAGATGCAGTACCTGGCACTCTGGATGACTCCTTTGGGGAGGAGGCAATGGAGCGAGGCCTGTGGGCATCTCCTTGTGGTGACGTGGATCAGGGAGCATCAAGGAGGGAGGTCTGTTCCAGCAGCCTTGGCAGCCTGTGGTCTGGAAGGGCTTCCCTGAGGCTGGAAGCAGATTCCCACAGGATCTATCATTGGCTCAACTGCACACATATTCTCCTTGCTCTGGCAGTTTTGCTGTTGAGCTTCTCTCCACTGTAGAATTAAACTGCTCAAGGATGTGGAGGTCTAAACCATTTTCCCAAAAGAGGGCTCACATCTGGTTGTGATGGGGACACAATCACTTGTTCCGTCTGCGACAGTGGGTGTCATAAAAGATCTTGTCCCTCCCTGCAGTCTGTGCTTCCCTCTGTATCCTCAGACAATCGCAGCAACACCACAGATGCTCTCGTGTGTGTGCCTCCAGTAATTTCCCAGCTTCCAAGGCACACAGTGGCACAAGGGCACACGTGTGGGACCTGGCACTAATGGGAGCTAATCCTCCTTGCTAAAACCTTGGCGTGCAGTGGCTTGCAGAGGGGTCAGTGCTACGTTCCTGTGCTGGCACATCCTGCTGCTCCCACCACTCTTCCCGCAACTCCCTCAGCTCCCTCAGCAGCTGCTGGAGTCCCTGGCATGGCAGGTCAAGGCGGCTCCTCCAAGGCCCCCTGAGCTGTCGCCTCACGTTCTGCAGCTGCAGTCACGGCTGCGAGTGGGGACCCGTGTGGACTGTCCCTCTGGAGTCACGGCTGTAGAGCGAGAGCCGTGGCACATCAGTGCTGTCTTGGCCAGGAGCAGGGACTCTCCTCCCCATGGGGAAGGAGCTCTGGCCATGCAGGAGCCTGGAGAGCCAGTGCTGGCCCTCGGGGCCTGAAGCGCTGCACCTCCAGCACCCCGCGGAGCACAGCCGGGTGTGGCGCTGGGCCCGTCCCTGGGCAGGGTATGGGGACGAGCCACTTCTGAGACTTCTGGTGCATGTTTGCTGACCCCAGCCACAAAGGTAGGCAGAAACACATCTGCCAGCTTTGCCTTGGGATTGACTCCTATCATACTGTGCCTCAAAGCGACAACTGGTACCCTGAAGCCCCAAGGGGTTCCTTGAGCAAGATAGTCCTTGTCTAAATCACTTGCCACAAGCAGCTCTCCTGCTGGAAATAACCATTCCAGGCAGGAGAACTCATTGTATGCCAACAGTGTTTGGTCACTGCAACCCACTGCAAGCTCATGTTTGGTCCATAACAGAATAGCTGAAACATTTTTACCACGGAGATAGGGAGCAGTGAATAAAGCATGAGGTGTTTTTCTCACATGGACATTTTGCTATGGTGTTAGAGGGCACAAAATAAAGTGTGGCCACAGTGCCATACCTGGGGTTAATGTGATACCTCTGTTTCTGCTTTAACTTGGAGCAAAAGAAGAACCAGGTCTTAGATTTCCAAGCAGGATTCAGCAGTTCCTGCAGCTCAGTGGGACACTGTGATACTGCTGTGATGTTTTGGGCGCTGCAAATCAGAGTCCCAAATATGCTTTTGGCTTATTTTTCTAGACATTTCTCCAGTGCTATGAAAACCCCCTCTCTTTTTCCTTAATTATCTGGCTCCCTCCTGAAGGACAAGAACACAAAAAAAGGAATGTACTGAAAATGAAGCAGCAGTAGGATGTGCTGGAGAGTTTGATTTGGGGAGAGAGTAAAACACCCCTGACTCCTATAGCACTTACACTGCCCAAAACAGGTCTCCATTGACAATGCCAGAGACTCCAGCTGTGGCAGCTCCATGTCCTAAAACTAGAGCAAGGCCTCGTAATTTAAAATAAAATACCCACTTTCCACAGGCTGTTACTTTTTGCCACTCTTTTCTGTGTATTCTGCATTCAGCTTATGCAATGCATCCAGAAGTGCCCACATTTTGATGGGCCCATCATATCTCATATAATGAGTAATTATATATTTCCGTGGAGATCTCATGTTTCCACATTTGCAACAATAATCATGATCAGTTTTGGTTTTTTTTTAAATGAAAAAAAAAGAAAAGCTACACGAGCTAAAATATTCTGGAAGTACCAAGAAGGTCTGAAGATCTGGCTTCTCACCTCCCAAAAATCAAGATTCCCAGCTCATACAAAGTTGCTAATCATAGCAAGGCCTGGAGTCTTCACATTGGAGAACCTGAATCTTCCCTAAGTTGCACTGGGAATCTTCTTTGATCCCTCTAAATGCCCTGAAAGGGCATCCTTTCCAGCTCACAGCTTACCATCCTCTAACTCTAATTGTTTCTGACCAGTCCAAGAGCTACAATGCCCTCTCCACTTCCCCATCTCACTGGTAAGAGAGAAGACAGGCAGGGCCCTGGGAGTCTGCTCTTGAATCAGATGCCTCCAAAATCCCAAAGCTCAGCTAATCCCCACCAGCACTTGGCCTCTTCCCTGCCTGAGTGACAAGAAGGGGACAGAGGTGGCAGCTGCAAAGAGATTGCTCGTTCTGTGGGAAAGGTTGCAGGAAGGGGGAAAGGTCCTTTGCATGCCAGATTGTGAGAGGCAGGAGGGAGGATGGGAATTTGGAGACCTGCTGTTTGTTCCCTGCCCTTTTCCCACGGCCCAGATGTTAGCTGGCAGCCAAACTGGCACGGTGCTCAGAGTATTTAGGGAGCTAAGCACAAGGGCCAGCTGTGCTGTGGGCCGGCACAGCAGGCTGGGAAAAGACCAGGAACAGAGGGATATTTTTACCCCATTTTTTCAACTGCTGCAGTGTTTCTCATGCAGCATCTGAAGGATCTGACTCTCACTCCTTGAGTGGCGTGGAAGCAGAGGCATGAGGGACTTGGCATCTTGCAAAGAGCAATGCTGAGTGTGGCCAAAGAGCCAGTGACAGCTGTCCTGCATCAACCATTGGGCAAATCAGGGTGCTTCAAACTGCAGCTGCACACTTCTCTGGCCTCAGATCTCTGGTCACACATGAGGCTAGTCTGAAACACATTAACCCTGTGGGGTTAATGCAGCCCAGCGCATTGGCAGGTATGGTCTAGTTCAGGTGTTTGGCCTGCCCATTGACAAGATCCTGCATCAAACTGCTGCACCACCTGGGAGATGACTTATTTTTTTCTTTTTCTTTAGAAAGATAAAAACAACTGATAAGATAAACTGAAATAACTGAAAGATAAAAACTACTTAAACTGTAGCACAATAACTGCTTTAGATTTTTTGCCTTTCTTCAAACAGGCTGTTATTACTGGAAATGCCATGGCCAGCCCAGAGCAGCTGCACTCATGCAGAAGGGCCATGGGGCTGAGTACATGGAGAAAGGACAAAGCAACAGGCATATGTTTCATTGATGTTGCCCATTGTTGATTCAGTAGCTGTGCAGGGACTGGATGGATCAACAGTGGGCAAAATCTAGAGCATCTGATGGTGGGGAGCAGAGATGGACTCCAAGGAACATTAGAAGCTCATTTTAGTTTCCTCCTCAGAGAGCTTCCTGCTTCACTACAAATAATTGCTTATACACCTAAAATATCTGCAGTCTGCCTTCTTGCCCACATGTGCATGCTGTGTTCCTCGTGCCCTCCCACACTGGAAGGTGTGAGTGTGCTGGTGGGATGTCAGCACACACTCAGCAGGCAGTGCATTGCATTATGCTGAACAGGAATGAGACTCTCCAGTGCACGTTTTGCTGAAGGAACAGATATGTGCGGGGAGAGCATGCATCAGGCATGTTCTTCTCCTCCACTAATTGCATCCCAGAGACCTGCCTGTCACAGACATCCCAACATTTTAACACCAAATTAGCAGCTACCAAAAAAAAATATTGGGATTTAAAGAAAGCTTTTTCCATAAGCGTGTCTTTCATCAGGACAATCAGTTGGGTCAAGCATTTCCAGCCTGCTTCCCTGAGCTAGCAAATATCATTGTCCTTAGCTCCATACTTAGCTGGGATTTCTCTTTCTTTGTGATGGAGACAGCAGCCTCATAGTGTGGTCCAGCGGCGCCTCTTGGAAGGCAACCTGAACAAGCTGCGGGGCGAGGCCAGGGGTCAGTCTGCACGGGTTCAATCTCCACTGGCAAAAGACCAGGATGAAAAGATGGAAAAGGGAGAGGACAGGAGAAAAGAGACTTCACCCCTGCTAATACAGTGCCAGGTAAGGCAACAACACAGTGCTGCTGATTTCACAGTGATGGCAAATGCTCAGAGTTCCAGCTGCCCCCCTCCCAAGGGCCATGGTGAGTTATAAATTGCAAAGCCAGCTGCAGACAAAAAGAAGAGATTTCATGCATGGCCTCTCCTAGAGTCTGGACGCAGGTTTTCCAAAAGCCAGAGGAAAGCCTTTCTGCTACATGACTTCTTTTAGTTGCCCATATTTGAATATAAATTACCTTCATCACATCTCTTTCCTTTGAAGGCCAGCTTTCCCATGATATGAGGTATTTTGTAACTGTATGGAGAAGTAAGGAATGTCTCCTTATCACTTGAAGACAGGTGCCTCTAGTTGTTTTACATTTAACCAATTCCAGTCTAGTCTGATTCTCTCAGGTGTCAAAGGAGCTCCTCACAAAGTGGCTAACTGTGCTCCAAATTAGCACAGCTGTATCTCTTGATGGAAGCAGTATTTTTAGCTTCCTTTTCTTCTTATATCCTCCTATATACAGCAGAGCACACTGGCCCCTGCAGTTAGAGAAAGCACATCCAAAAGCTGTGGCCCACGGACGAGAGCTGGATGGTTAGAGCTGCCCAGTAATTGCAGATATGAGACTCACCAAGACACAGACCTGTTGTACAAAACCCATTTTAAAGCTGGTTTTAGTTCAGTTACCCGTCCTAAAGAATGTCTCCCATATCCGAGTGTAAAGGCTACACTTCCAAGAAAAACATGTATACTTTTGAAAATTCATTTAGCACAATAAATTATAATAGCAACACAGACTGGTAGCAAGTTTCTGAAAGGCTTAGATCAGGTATCTCAGTACCAAGCAAAGCCACTGTTTGGTTTGTTTTGCAGCCTTTACTGCTGCAGTTAGGCATTGCTTACCCTGGATTTTAGACTTTAATATGGCTGGGTTAACATAACCACACCTGGGGACAGACTAGTAGGATGAATGGCTCTCAGGGTAATTTCTCCAATTACTTGGAGCCTGTTTTTGAGCAAGTAAAGGTGTTTGTTTTTCTTTAATAGCCGCTCCTTATTGTTCTGCAGGAGGCAATTTAGTGATAAAGGGTGGGGTTTTTGCCAGGCATGCACACTGAATAAGGACAGGCATGTACAGGTGTTGTATCCCAGGGGCAGCAGCTAAGTCAGCGTTACAGTCCACCAGGCATTCTCTTTTGTGTTTCTAAGGCACTGAACCCCAGCTGTCACCCACATTTTATTTTCCCTCACAGAGGAAGGTTAATGAGCATCACAAGCAAGGAAATAGACCTAACACTGCATGTAACTCTTCCTGAATACTGCACAGGCTTTTCTCTCTTTTTCTGCCCTTATTAGGAGCCAGTCACTGTTTGTCACACTTGATCTTACAATGAAGGAAGGGAAGGTCTCCTCCCCTTCTTTTTGTCTTGCTGCTTTTGATGTTCACATTTAGGAACTTCAAAAAGCCTCTGCTGTCAGTAACAGAGCTGTGGCAGGAAATAGGATTCAGGCTGCCAGTTCATTTGAACCAGAGAGGTGAGCTGGTACCTTTGTAGATCTGCTTGATTACAGTGCAGTTTTTTTAGAAATGGAGCACAGCCCCAGAGAAGTCTTTTTTTTTTTTCTCCTGACTCTTGAGAAAAGCTAATCTACCATTTACATACAGGCAAGTATGGTGAAAATCTCAAAGTGGTAACAAATGCATCACCTGACTTGTAACTGAATTTGACTAGGGAATAAACCCAAATATATGTAGACTTCAGTGGTACATGGAGATTCAGGCAGTAAGTGGTTTCACTCTAACAGGTTTTAGTTGCCCTGTGTCTAAGGCCTTTTAAGTCCCAGAGATCACAGACAGACCCAGTCTATAATAGTTGTACTGCAGTCACTCACCCTCCTATTTGCTTAGGTGGGTTGCCCAGGTGGTACTTTAGCAGAATTGCCCCTTTTTGTAAAAGTTTTTGAAGAGCACTTTAGAAAACTAGTCATGACTGGCCTATATCTGCAACATAAAATCAAGCTGTTATGTCTTGTGGTGGGGCTTGTCTTTTGTTGACTTGGAAAGAAATGCTAAAAATTTCACTGCTGTAGAAGGCCAGTTGTACTCTACACCAAAGCGACCTGGGATTTTGTTTGCTAAAGCAGCTTGACTTTGGAACTGACATAATTTCAGAAAACACAGCTCTTTATAGTGATTTTTACTGATTCCCCTCTTTCTTGGAAATTCCTGTAATTAATATTCAGATAAAAAATAAACATGACTGGTAGTAACAGACTTAAAATTCTGGAGTAGAGATGAGAGTGGGTAAAGTGATGAAAACTCCTCCTAGTCCAAGAAGCGTTGCAGTGCTTATGAACTGCCTACATGGTATTTTTGGTATGTTGGACCAAGGACTTTCCTCAGGCTCCTGGTGAGTTCTCTAGGGAGATGGTTAGTGATGAAGAGCTGTTTACACTCAATGAGATTAAATGTTGTTTTCTACAGAATAATCACTGTCCTATTATGTCCTATCAAGTCTCTAACTTGCAGATTTCCCAGCCTGCTCTGAAACAAAACTCACTAATCTGCCTAGTGATACAGCTTAGGTTTATTGTAACAGCAGCAGCTCATGCATCTCAATCTGCTGCTCCCAAGTGATTCCTTAGCAATTGCTATCCACGCTCCAGGTCTTGTTTCTGAGTAGAAACGATCTGGAGGCAATGTCTGGCATGCACCTTCACTCTGTGCTTTCTCTTGCCTCTCTGCTTAGTCTGGCCACAGCCTTTTCAGCCAGGGCTGATGTGTTGGGGAGGACGAGGCAGCACAGACATTGCAGAGCTCTAAAATCAGAAGGGAGACATTTTGCCATAGAATGGTTTGGGCTGAAAGGGACCCTGTTGGTATTGTCTGTTTGCAGCATTCCCGTATTTCTCACAGGAGCTGTTTTCTTCTTTCTCTTTATAAATACTCACAGTTAGCATATTTTTGAAAATGAAGTCTTGGAAATAGTGGATGTAGCTCTCTGTGATGATTAATAATCATACACAGGCTTAGATAAGAAATCAGGAAATTGAGACATTTTCCTTGACCCTGCTGGTGCTGCACTGAGTCCCTCATGTTGGTCTGCTTAAGATGTTCAAGCATTTAAACTTGTCGGGACTGAGCAGAAGAGTAGAGAAGAAGTGGCAGGTCTGTTGCTGCTGCTGAGTGGTTCATGTCACAGAGTGCCATAGTGGGTGGAAGAGAAAGAATCACAGGAAAAACACAAATAATAGTAGGAATACAATGAGCCCCCCAAAAGGAAAATTTTGTGGGTGAGGTTTTTTGGGTGGGTTTTTTTTTTTTGGGAAGTGGTGTAAAACAGAGCTTTGAAGAAGTAGGCCATCAAGAATAGGTATTATTAGGCACCATAGGTAAAGATGTATTTTGTAGATAACAGCTACTCCATCTTTTCCAGTTCCTTTACTAAGTCCTGTTCCTCCTTTTTTTTCCTTTTCCTCAACCTAATTCTTATTGATGTTCTTGATGACCCTATGTTTTGAGACCCCTAAAATAAATGTGACCTGCTGCTACTTCATCACCTCAGGCCTGCCATTAAGGATCTCTCTACAGAGGGGACAGAAAACAGATGGCAACCTTATCTTCTTTTCCCTTTCATGTGCAAAGGGGTAAAGAAATTAAATGAGCAAAGCACTGGGAACTATTCCAGTAAAATCATGCACAGGTTACTTGGGTGCAGGGCACAGTCTCCCCCTTTGATAAATGACACCAGCTGTGACTATTGCAATATCATGTCTTATATCCATAAAGAGCTATACAGGAATATGATGTAAGCCCTACACAAAATATTCATCTCTTGATTAGGTTGTGTCTTGGATTCAGGAGTCACATGGATTTGCCATTTATCTTGGGAACTGCCTTAAATTCAAGCTCATTTGAGGTGCGTTTGTCCTGGGTGCTCCTGCTACTCCTTCAGACTTCTCCCTCTGGCAGCTTTTCTACTGAGGACTAACATTTAGCCCTGAGACATTGTTCCCTGCAATACCAGAAAAAATGGAGAGATGAAACCCAGAAAAACTAGCACATGTTTGTATTCCTTCAGAAACTTTTGCATATTACTTACTGTTCTGCTAAAAAAGTCCATGTTGGTTTCATGAACAAATTCTTGAACTGTGCATCTCTTGACTGGAATACTCTTAAGTTAAAGTCACTAAGATAAGTGTCTGCACAATCAAATACAAATGAAGGAAGACAAATTCAAAAAGAAGTGTTTGAGAGTGATTTGCAGAGCACTGGGGAAACCATCTTTGTCTTGGATGAAACTCTTACCTTCTGACTACTGCCTAAAACACCACAACTTGGCTATGTTGCTCAGAAAATCCAAATCATACTGTTGGAGGAGTGAATATGCCAATTTTGAGCCTATAGTAATTATCTGTTGTTGTTTTTTCTAGTGCCGAGGTCAGGTACTGAAAGCGACAGTTAACACTGGGTGTCTACCAAACCTCATCTCCAAGAGGTGTTTAAACCAGCTGGGGTAAGTCTTTGCACAGTATAAAAGGAGGGATGGCTAAAGGAAAAACCATGGCAAGAAGCCAGGCACTCTTGAGTCCCAGCCCCAGGGATAATGACTGGCAGTTTTGCAAGTGCACATGGCTGTTGAGGAGAAGATGCAGAGGGTGGGCTACAGGGAAAGCCATTAGAGCACTGGCAAAGGTGTGTGCAGACCCCAGACTCTGAGGCAGAGCTGTGCAATTCTGTCTGCATGTACTGCAAGGCAAAGCTGCCCAGCTGGTGGCTAGTGCTGAGATTTTGCTTGTTGAATCTGCCTCCAGACATATGGCATGAAAGAGATTCCCCCTCTTGTGGACCTGTTCCCAGTGAGACCCAGAAGAACTGCCATCAGTGAGAAGTCCTGGTTTTCCTCCTCTTCCTCCACTTGAGGCAATAACACCTCTTGTGTCCCACAGGCTGGAAGAAGTGTCTGCCATGGACTGTGGAGACCTCTCTCTTCCCATCCCCAGCGTTGTTGGTCGAGTAGAACATTTGGAATTGCAATTTGGCCAGGAGGCAGTGCTGTGTTCAGCACTGGTTGTAGGTGAGAGTGCCAGCCCCTCGTCTCCCTTGTTTCTCCTGTGTCCCTCTTGCCATGCCAAAGGCATTTAAAAGACCTTTGGAAAAAACATAACATGGTGGAAGGTTGGTGATGTGGCCACATCACCAACATCACCATACACAATGAATACCCTCAATGTAACCAAAGGCAAAGGGCATAGGAAGAGTACAGAGAAGACAAAAAACATTGAAAGTGGGGAGAAATTAGGTGCTTTTTCAGTCCTAACTAAGGATATGAAAAATTCTCATTTCAATTCTAAAATGGCCCTTTCACAAAATTCTGCAGATGGCTTAATATTCTGGTGCCTTATGTTCTCCTATGGAATGGGCACTTGTATCCCTGGCTGGGTGGAATTCATCAGACAAAGTAACAGAGGGTACAGCTTATTTCCTAGAGTGCTTCTCTGTGTGCTCTTCTGCCTCTGCTGCAGGGAGCACCCCGAAAGAACCTAGAAGCCCCAGAGTGCTGAGTCTCCTACAGTGTCCTGAAGCAGGATCTTGTGAAGGAAGGAGCCATAGGAGACAAGATCAGGCCAGGGAGCACTGAGGCAGGCCCAGAAAACAGCAGAAAGGCTGCATGTTCTGCATTACATCAAACTGTGCATATGCTGAAAACAACGTGATTGTCTCTTTTTCCCCCTGTTCTTTCTCCCTATTAGTCTTCCAGCCTTACCTTCTTGCTTTAATCTGTTTCCCCATCTTCGATGAGTCCTGTTCATCTTCCAAGGCCTCCCTTGCTCCCTCTTTTCATGTACATTCTTTCCACATTCCTAAGTTATCTAGAAAGAGCTTCCTCATTTTACACACTCCAGCTTGTTCTTTTTTCCTGGTTTCCACTCTGCTTGTTCTTGCCCTTCATGGGAAATCTGTATTAGTACTAGCACAGGTGAATTTACCTCATAGCTACTACTTACTACACGTTTTGTTGGAACATGGAAATGGCTGCCCGGAAGGAGCAGAGTTGCTATACCTGTGTCTTACATCTTCCTGTGCACACAGTGCTCTCACTTATGTGGTTATAAATAAACTATAAATTACAGCCACTGGTTACAGAGCAAGCAGGCCTCCAGGAGACATGTGAAGTGTTAATGAAATTACAAGTGGCTGCTGATTACTGTAGACTCTAGGACCTGGGAATTCCCCTTAGCTACCACTTTAACCCCTAGCATCTTCTGTTTGCTGACACTGAAGACTTGCAGCAGTTACAAGTAGGACAGACAAGTTACATGGAAAAAAAAACCTAACAAACTTAATAAAATTATTTAATAAGATCAGTTAGATTGCAGCCATTAGGTGCAGGCTTTGGTCAGAAAACTGAACGAATAGCCTGCTTGCATGTGACCCTTATCCCCTTTCCTCTCCATTTTCCCATGCTTTTTCTCCCTGATTCATCGTGCTGCTTACCTTCTGCCTTTTGCCCTTCCCTTACACAGCCCATAGTAAGTTTCATGGGATCTCACAAGCCCCTTCTGATATCTCATTAAGTTTCAAACTGTCACACAAACCCCCTCAAATTTATCTCACAGTAGTCATGATAATCATGGTTTCCTCTCTTGTCCGCTGCAAAGTTCATTTTGACCATCTTCAGGACTGTGCCTAACAGCTCCTTTAAAGGCTCATCAGTGAGTAGCAGAAGAGAGAGATTTATTATTGTCACTGCTATCATCTGCTTGTTAATGTTGGTGTGTTTAACTCATCCTTTCCCTTGTTATTTTTTATCTGCTTTATATTGATTCATAAACATTTATGAATCAGATGTTCTTGTGTTTCATACCCTTTTACAGGAGAGACACACTTTCTTTAACGAGGCAGTATCACCTGATCTAAAGCCTGATCAGTCTCTTCTCTCTTCTCAGATGATGAAATGCTGGAGTTTTGCATTGGCCTCCAGACACTGTTGTCTCTTAAGGTAAGGAACAGTTCCTTGCTTATTGCTAGGGCTCCTCTCAGGAAGCTCTCCCAGATCTGGTTGTTGTAAGCATCAGAATTACTTAATGTCCAGGTCTCTCAGGGCATTGCTTGTCACACAGCTGCCTGACTGGGTGCAGTATGCTCTGAGTCACTGATTCCTTTCCAGTCCTTCTTAAAGGTTTTAAGAGAGAAAACACTCAGTAGGATACTATCACACTTCCCATTCTCTGTACTCCTCACCATATGACATGTAAGCAGCAAGAGGAAACTGAAGAGGAGACAAGAAAAGGCACGAGTAAGACCCATGTGGCCCTTTGAAAGCAGATGAGAACAAGCTGTGCCTTTGCTTTAAGCCAAATGCAGCTGTATGATACATTCAGTGTCAACATTTGCTGGCCATGAGTGGAAAGAGTCCTTTTGTCAGCTTGGCTCAGGGTCAGTTTTTTGCTGAGCCTGGCTCCTGGGTGGCTCAGGATATGACTGCAGCAAGCTGGCTCTGGCCTGTCACACATTTGTGGCCACATGCCAGGCTCATAAAACAGGAAAAACAATGGGTTCAAGGGCTGAGTGATGTGAGCACATCAACTCAGAGAGGGTCATAGGAAGAAGGGAGGGAAATGGCCCTGTGAAGGGTTTGTAGATGAACCCCACTACAGGCAACTGGAGCAAGGAGACAGCATGTGGGACAGGGAAGGAAAACTGTAAGGTCTCTGCAAACCCAGAAAGGTGTTACAGGTTCTCCCCAGTCATAGACATCACAAGATTTGCTATCTGAAATGTACAGAAAATAACTGTCTATCTCCTTCTTTAGTGTTGCATCGACTTGGAGGAAGGAGTCCTGAGATTTAAAGCACTGAGTGAGGAGCTGCCTTTTCTACACGCCTCTGAAGAACCTGGTCAGTGACTGGCTGCATTCCCCATGTCTGGAGACTTGCTGCCATGAGAGAGAGATGAGGGTGAGGCTCCCATGCCCCTAACCTTGCTGAGTTCTAGGCTGAGGCATTCAATGGGGAGTAAGAAAAAGGCAAGTGGGTGCTTGCACTGGGAGTGCCTCAACTTGAGATATCGTTCCTTTCAGTGGACCCTCTTGCTTGTCCTGATGTGCCGAGTGGGCATTTTGTTCTTGTTCTGCTATTTGGCCCTAGTCACTCTAACTTCTGGTTCTGTAATAAATTTATGCTACCCCTTTAATGACTTTACAACACACTGTTCACAAGAGAGTCTCTGTGAACAATCTCCAGTTGTTCTGTTGACAGGAGAACAGCGTTTTCTTCAAAGACGTCCAAAGATTACCACAAATGTTTCCCTTCTTGTTGCCTCAATGCCAGCGTACACCAATCCTGTTTCTTTGTCAGAAGGGCTCTGTTCCCTTTGTCTGTACTCTGGGAAGCTGGATTTTGCTGCTTTTTGCTGGCTCAGAGCAGAACAGAAGTATTTTCTTGGGAAAACTGTGGCAAAAACAGTTTTAGAGTTCTAAGTTCTAAGAAACCTTTGCAGAAATGTTGAGTGCAGATGCCTAAAGCACTGACAGAGGCTTGGGCTTTGCCATTGCATCTCTGGGCACTAAGCTATATTATATGAATGGCAATGCTTACCATCTCTTGGTGTATACCCTGTAACCAGATTTACACACCCTGTTCCTCTGGCCAGGCCACTCCTCTCTGCACTCCAGCTGCCAGAGCTGCATCCCTGCTCCCTCTGCTGCCTCATCAGAGATCCTGCCACTCAGTTTAAATGCTGTGATGAATTACAGCACCGAGTCTTCTGCTCTGTCAGCTCCTTTCCACCAACTTGAAATCCAGTGATTAAACACAGACACATCATCCGCCTTGAGTCCTGGCATCACACAGCCCATCAACTTGGCTTCTCTTGCACCAAATAAGAATTTGTAGTATCAGCTCAGATTAGAGAACTGTGAACTCATCTGGAATGTTAAAGGTGATTATTAAGTCACTTAACAATTGGGTTTATTTAATTTCCTTAATTTCTTTTTAATTTCCATATTAAAGCATAGCTATATTAAACACGCATAATCTATTCTTAACTAGCTCTATGAAAAATGCACTAGATCAGGGCTAGCTCCATGCCTCATGGCTACTGATACACAATCCAAACTGCAAAATATACCTTTATCCACATTTAAAAGGCTGTGACAACCTCATTTTGCCTATTTTCCTGGACTAAACACTGCTGACTCTCTTCCTTTTCTATCCAACTGGTCATTGTCTCTGTTGTGGTCCTCAAAAAATATGTGTATGCATTTTTGCGCCTTTTTTTTGTGGTTTTTTTTTGTTTGTTTTGTTTTTGGTTTTGTTTTTGTTTTTTTTTTGTTAGTTCTTTTCCCTACAGCTGTACGCTGTAGTTTAACACATGCTAAGGACATCAGAGTAAAGCCTGGCTGATATGATTTTGGATTGACAGTTGGCACTGCTGGCATCTGCTGCTCCCACAAGGAGCAGCAGACTTTTACTGTTACTCATCATACCTTGCAGCTTCTGATACATTCCTTGACTTCTCTGCCACTCTTCTACTTGTGCATCTGTTTCTGGCTGCATGAACTGCTTTCCATGAATCTCTCAAGTGACACCAATGGTTCTCTCATTTAGTCAGGAAAACATGCCTGCTCCATGAGCCTGTCTTCCAAAGTAGCAGTAATTCCTCCTGGATTTGTATCACTTGCATGCCTGACTGGACTCTCAAATCTCTATCAAGGGGTCTAGATAGCTCACATTTGTACTCAGCCATCTTGTATTCTAGCTGCAGTCTATGTGGTGCCTGGGCCAATTCTGCTGACAAAATCTTGCTTGTGATAGACAAAACACCTGTTGCTATATGTATCAACTCACCCGGTTTCCAACTCCCACTGCCTTCTAAAAAGAGCATGTAGAACAAGGGCAAATAATCTATACATACAGATACCATGTCCATTAAAATCTTATTAATTTCTATGATCCATTTAAAAAACCCTCTAAATCACAACCCAAAAGCTGACTTTAGCCCTAACCCACACAATAAACCCTAACAATGACCCAAAATCTAAGATGTAAGGCACTAAATCCTAATCCTAAATTTTACCCCTAAAACAAACTGTAACACTTAATGCTAATTTTAACACCTAAATCAAATCTCCACCTCCTAACTATAAAACATAGCATCAAAAATAACCCCCTAAATTTAACACTGTAATCCCAACATTTACCATGTGACTTTAAACCCAAGACAGAATCATAAACACATTAACTACAAACCCTAATCCCAAAACCTAACCATAATCCCCAACCCTGAATTCCAACCACGAAGCTAACCCCAGCACCTAAATCTAAACTCCAAGGCCTAAAACTAACCCCTAAATCTAAACCCCAAACCATATAACAAAACGTAACCCCAACTCCAAACACATCCCTAACCCTACACCTAACCACAACCACCTAACCCTATCTGATAGCTTTCATCATTCCCACAAGGGGCCTCACTTCCCTCCAGAGCGCCCTGGGGCTTTTCTGAGTTTTGCTTTGCCCTGCAAGGGGCCCTGCTCCCTTTCAGAGTGTCCCAGGGCTTTTGCCAGGCCCAAACAGGGTCCTGCTTATCACCACAGGGCTTTTCTTGGGCTTTGCTGGTGCCCAGGCAGGTCTCTGCTGCCTTCCAGAGTGTCTGACAGCTTTTGCTGGGCTTTGCTGGTGCCCACAAGAGCATGGGAAGTGGAGAGCCACCAACAGCTCCAAGTCCTGGCCACTTCCTCATTAGAGCAGTGCCCAGTGTCAGTTTTGCAGCTGGGCTCTGACTAGGGCAAGGGTGTAGGAGCTCTCAGACCAAAGCCAACAGGAATCTTTCCAGTGATTTAAAAGGAGTGTTGGATGGGATCCTACAGAAAACTGCCATGACTTTCAGTTGACAATTCTGTCTTGACTACTGCCTGTCACTTGCAGCCCTGCAGATACTGCACACTAGCTGCTGCTGGAATTCACCAGGTGCTGTTCCTACATGTCTGTCTTGGAACAACTGCTGTTGGTCATATTCAGAACATCCTCCAGCCTTTTTGAAGCCTTTCTGTTGATCACATGCCTCATATCCTAAACCACTAACAGTTCAGGCTCATCTGTGAATTAATGTGCTACAGTAGGTGAAAATCTCCAGCCCTCTTGTCTCTGCTTAGTGACTCCTTCTTTGCATCCTCCTTACCTTCTGTTTACACTGGTAAATGACAAATTCCTTTCAAAAAGGAATTCTTTCTCTTTCAGAGAATCCTTTTAACACTTGCCTTGTACTCTGGCTACTAAAACACTCCCATATTGTGCTTTCCCATCTTGTGAGCTGTTCCTCTTTGTTGTAAACGACTGCATGCATAAATTCTCAGATACAGAGAGGATGTTTCCAAGAAAGCACTAAATTAGTGTGAGTTCTTTTCTCAGCTCTGAAATCAGCTCCAGGGCAGAAGACATGCTCTTCACCTTCCTCCTGTCCATGTCAGCTGAACACACAGATCCACTCAGTAGAAGTCTCTTTTGTCCAGACATTGAGGAATCTGTTGCCAACAGTTATCTTGGAACCTCCCCATCAAGCTTTGCTGCAGGCAGAACTTCCAGAAAAAAACCCATTTATGTGACTAAATGAGAACTGCAGGTCATGATGCCATGGCAGACACCTCACTTCAATCCATTCAGTCTAATCCTACAGGGCCAGTACCTGCTTTCCTCACCAACACAGCTCCTGGTAGGTTTTCATCTCCCCAAGTTACTTGGCATAAAATGACACACTGTTACTGCATTTCACATGTGCATTCTGAATTCCAGCCCACAAACATTTTTCTTTCTCCAAAGCATTTTTGCGTCGTTACATCTGAAGCACAACCTTCATTGTGAAAGAAGGAAGTCTTGACTTTAAAATGTGATTGTAAAATAGGACTTACAACGTCTCAAAGAAGCCAACTCAACTCCCAACTACAAACATGGTAATTTTTAAGTCTTCCAACACTGGGAAGCACAGTAAGTAATTTCTGAGTGGGCTGGCCAGGCTGAAGACCGTCTTAATTGTAGTTTCTCTTGGAAAAGCCTATTATACAGATATACTTCCCTACTCCCAATTCCAGTCTTCTCTATTGCTTTTGGGAGATAAAGGGAACAAAGGAATAATCTAAAGGTCTTTTTCACTGAAGATCAAAAAATGCTAATACTTTCATACAGAAAGCAGAAGTTCAGTACAAACTGCCAGCTCAGAACAGGACATAGGCACATCCTGAATGTGTCCAGTACTGGATTCCTTGTGATGAGGCCTGTCCCTTCAATATAAAAAATGGAATGTTATTATTTTAGGGATAATCTCTTTGAACCACCTTGGTGGTCAGTTCCTATCAGGGCTGCTTTCTAATAGAGGGCACAGCAGCTATGGAAAAGCCTGCAGGGATACACCTGCCATGGCAAATCTCTGGAACAGTGTGCAATACACCCAGGGGTGGGGAAAAGGACTTCTGTCCTTCCTGAGAACATGCACTCTGCCAAAGCCACAATCAGGACCACTTCCAGGAGCTTGGGGGTCATTTGGTTTTGAACAGAATGGGAGCTGCAGCCATACATATTCCCAGAGGCTTGCTCCTTCTTTTACTACCAGCAGGTGAGCAATGGCATTGAAGACCATTTAGCCACATACCTGTTTGCATTCAGTGCTCCTTTCAAAGACTCCAGTGGCACATGTCAGGATACACCTAAAGAGTTATAGAAATAACTAAATTATAGCAGAAAGATCATTTAAACAAGGGCAGGGATAGAGAGCAGGTTTATGACGTCTCAGGAAAATAAGGCAACCCCATCCCTTTATTTTTTTGCTAGTAAATTGAGCATCAGAACCAAAGCCAAGAATCATTTATCTGCAAATACCCCCAGTGCCTGAGAACACTGTCAGACTCCTCACTTGCTGTGTGCTGGCACTGGGACATGCAAAGGTGTCCTGCAAACGCTGCCCTGTTGAAAAGTTTCTCAGCACCAGCAGGTTATGCCAATCTGCTAGAGTAGGATACAGCAAACATTTTCTGCTGTGTGGGAGGGAACCACTTCTAACTCCAACTCTGCAGCTTGTGTCGGCTGGCAAGGACAAACAGACACTTAGTTACAAAGAAAGTATAATGTAACTCCATCACTGCAGAGACAGAGCCTTAAGTGGCTCCTTTCCTGAGAAGATGGACACTTCACAGAAAAACTGTTGCCAGTAAAAGTAGCCTGAATAACAGATTTCAGGAAGTATTTGGCACTTAGGAGTTCAAGGCAAGAAAAAATAAGGAAAGCCATCTTTTGGCTAAGAACGGTATAGATGTTGAGTAAATGCTTCTGTAGATACTTTTCATTTTCTCTTGTGCACAAGGGGCACAGGAGCAAAATGCATCTGCAAGTTATTATGTGCTGCACACAATATGAAAATGTCAGGGGAAGCCCTCAAATGTTAGTATTTTTCCTCTCCAATGGTTTTTAAGAGCTGAAATGTTTTGGGGAACAGATGTTTTTGTAGTGTCTGTATTTTCTCACCCCTGCTTTTGACAGTGTGCATTGCCTGGGCTTGCACAGCAATTTTATCCTCAGGCCAGCAAAAGAGGGTTGGGATGCACAATATTTGCAAGGCTTTTGCCCCATTTTCTTTTAAAGATGGTTCCTAGAAAAGTGTCATCTCTTCCTCAGCAACTGTATCCCATTCTTTCTCAACAATTAATAGTCCAACAGTGGATCAGTTTGACCTTCCTTTCTTGGAAATTATTCAACCTGTACAGCAGTTTGTTTTGCATAAAACAGTTCCAGCTATATGCACCCATTTGTACACCCCTTGCGCTTGTGTTGCTAATAAAGATTTATATTTGGTGTTGCTAATAAAGGTTTATATTTGGCATGGACAGACAACACTTAGTTGTTCTGTTACGAGTGCAGGCCATCCTGTTTCCCTGCCAGGCCCTATTTGCCAGAAGCAATGGTGATGATTCCCGTTGGGATGGGTGGCTGCACATCTCAGTGTCACAAGAGCTGACAATTTGTTCAGGTTACAGACTAGGTCTGACAAGCTTCAAGACAAACTCCTTGCTTCAGCCCACAAGTAGATGGCCCCTGTGGTATCAGCTCTCCACAGCTCACAGACTCCAGTCTTGCCGCTCTATTATTATTAGCTTTATTATTACTCAAAAGGTCCTACCCGAAGGGTCCAGTTTTACACAAGCACTAAGTAGGACAGGGGAACATTTAAAAATGCTTTTCAGCAAGGCCATTAAAATGGAGAGAAACTTCTATTGCAGTTAGAGAGTCAGAAGATACAGAGGACTAAGAAGCAAGCTAGCAGGTACAGAGCAGGTCACACCATTTCACTGCTCCATGCTCCAGCTTCCACTGCTACCAAATGCAGAGGACAGCACTGTCCTCTGTAAAGCTTATATAAATCTACAGAGGGAAACTGCAAAGAACAGCTAAGGTTTATTATGTAAGATCCTGCCCTTCTACCACAAAGGGCTGCTTCAGCAATGGTCACTTTCACCCAAGGGCAAGACACTCCTTTTCTCTATACAAAGCATTTTCTCCCAGCTAGGGCTGCCCTTGGATATTTTGCAGAGTAAAGCACAGCAGGTTTTCAACTGCCTACAGGATCTTTAAATGCTGCCACTTGCTCCAGATCACTGAATTGTATTTGCTGTGACTCAGGCTGCTGCAAGGGCGAAGGGACAGCTCCATCCATCACCTATGTCCAATAACACATCACATAAGTGAGAGGGGATAATCGACGCAAGCCAGCAGGTAGGCCTGCTGCCCCTTTCCTAACAAGCTGAATTAGGCAAAAAACAAGCTAAGAGAGGGAAAAGCACAGTAACAACAGCATGTGGAAAGGTTCATGCCAGGGCTTTTGCAAATGAGCTCCCCTTTAGCAGACTCCTCGTGCCAGCCAGTGTGACATCACTTCCAGCCCACCTCTTCCAGTTGTGCAGGACTCAAAGCATAACACTCTCCACAGCAAGAGGCAAGAGTGGCATTTCCACTGCTTTTTGTGGGATGGCCAAGCTCTCATAGCACCACAGATCCACAATTAAGTCAGACTGGTCTTACTGACCACTTCACAGCTGTTTTGTTAAGTCACAGCCTTCTCTGGAATCACCTTGCCCAAGAAGATGGAGACAGGCAATGACTCTTGACTAGAGCTGGGTTTGCTGTATCTGCTCTCTCTCCACACCTTAACAGTGCAAGTTGTGTATGTCTCCAGCTATTCAGAACTGCGAGAAACTGCTTGGCAGAAGAGCAGCAGCAAAGCAAAGACAAACAATGCATGGCTCTACTTTAAATACACCTAAGTGGGAGAGAAGGCCCATGCCTGCACCCCAACCCAGTTCCTCCATCCCCACTTCCTGCACTGTGATCCTGCTAACAACTCAGAAGTATTCACTGAAGTACTTCTAAGTATAGGTCAAAATGGAGACTTGGCTCA